CCCCGCGCGCCCGTCGTCTCAAAACGCTGTCGTTGTAGGCCGTCACGCGCCTCATCCTCGCCGGCGTCCTCGACCGCCACCCCGGCCTGCGCGTCCTCCTCGCACACTCCGGGGGCGCGCTCCCGCAGCTGTCCGCGCGCCTCGCGTCCTGCATCGCCCACGACCCCGTCGTCGCCGCGCGCCTGCAGCACGACGCGCGCTTCTACCTCGGCAGGCTCTACTTCGACGCCGTCGCGTACGGCGCCGAGGAGCTCGCGTTCGTCGGCGACGTCGTCGGGCGCGCGGACACGTTCGCGGGCAGCAGCGCGAGCGCGGCGGCGTCGAGAGGCGCGGGGCTCGGGCAGCGCAGGCGGGGCAGCCGGCGCATGCTGTTCGGGACGGACCACCCGTTCTTCCCGCCGCTCGGCGAGACGGAGAGATGGAAGAGCGTGGTGGAGAACTTGGAGGCGATTGAGGGCGTGCACGGCTGGGACGAGGCGGACAAGGACGGCGTAAGAGGGGGGAATGCACTGGCGCTGTTCGGACTGTCCAAGTGAATCCCTGCCGGACGTCGCTAGATGTGTACGTTGTCACACTTGAAGCGAGAAGCCTGCATCGCGCCGTCTCGCCCTGCGCTTTCGTGTGCTTGCTGCAAGTGAGGCGTCCACGCGCGCGCTCTCTGACCTCCGATTTCCGCCCACCCGCTTACCGCGGGATCGACCCGACCCGCTTCACGCACGTCCGCGCCCGCGCGCGACTATCGCGTGAGTCGTGTACGCATGCATCCCGGTCAGAGACACGCCCATGCTGTCTTCGCGTCGCTCTGCGCGCCGCTCCCTTGCGCGCTCGTCTGACTCCCCGCCGTCTTGCTCGCATCTGGCCGCCGCGCGCGCACTGGCCCCTTTGCTCACAGACTCCGCGCTGCGCGCTCCCGCGGAACCGGACACCCGCTGTCTTGGCTACCCGAAACTGAGCTACCAGGTAACGAATACATGCCATCCCGTTGCCTCCCCGTTCTCATGCCATCACACCGCATCCCCCCGAGCACAGCAGGGACACCCGCAAGCGGCATATTGCCCGCGCGTGATCATTGCGTCCTGACCAGCGCGCGCGCATCACGGCCGGCTGCTAACGCGCCGCGACGGCACCCCGAGCGCGTACATGGCACGAAGCGCCGCTCCGCGTACACATTGCGCAGCGTCGTGCTGCGCGACAAAGCGTCCCGCGGCAAGGCTGAGGACGGCATCGGCAGTGCCTCATGCGTCGACAGTCAGGAGCCCGCGCGCGGCATACCTAGGAGCGCGGATCCGACGTGCGCAGCTGGTCAATGTGAGACGGCCGGTCAATGCGGGATGGCCGGTCGACGTGACATGACGCGGTGCGGTCAGCACACGAGCGCGACCCGACGCGCGCAAGACCACACACCTGCTGTGGCGCAAGACGGCACCCACCACACCCGCACGCCGCGTAGCTCCCGCACGGACATCCCGCACCGCACTTGCACCTTGCCGTCACAGAGGATGCGCGCTGGACACGGCGCATCAACACACTCACCCGTTGCTGGAGACGGACGCGGGCGGACTTTGCGTACGCCACCCCTTGTGCTTCACTTGCTCGCACTCACACGCGCTCCCTCACACACCCCCGGGCGCAATCACCTCATGCAGCAAGGCGCACGACATCCGGACAGCGTATATAACAGCTTTGCCCGCGCCAACCTCAACGTGCGTAAGACCCGGCACGCTCGCACAGACGGCTACACGTAGCGCCAAGACGGCTCTTCCCAGGCGCGCGGAAATATCAGCGCAACGCTGGGCCCGAGCGCGGGAATCGTCGCGATGGTACGTGGTACGCGGACGCTAATATTCACACCCGCACCGCTTCGCCCCCTCCCGGTCATATCGCGCGGCGGGTATCTTGACGGCGGTCTCTCAATGATCGCGCGGCCACTAAATTGATGGCGTAAGGCCGCGTGCAAATTAGCCTGTCCCTGTGCCAACGTCAGGCAGTGGAAGACCCGGGGTGCTCGCGCGGATGGGTCTGGTTCCCGTCAGGAGTGCTCCTCCCAGACACACAGCTATAGCAACGCCGCGCCAGACTCAAATCTCGGCAGTGCTTCGTGCGTGGATGGTCAGGAGCCCGCGCGCGGCGTACCTAGAAGTGCGGATCCGACGTGCGCGGCTGCCCGTGCAAGTGGGACGGCTGGTCAATGTGAGACGGTCGGTCAATGCGGGATGGCCGGTCGACGTGACACGACACGGTGCGGGCGGAGGAACAGCAGTGAGTCAGCACACGAGCGCGACCCGACGCGCGCAAGACCACGCACCTGCTGTGGCGCAAGACGGCACCCACGGCAACCGCACGCCGCGTAGCTCGCGCACGGACATCCCGCACCACGCTTGTGCCTTGCCGTCACGGAGGATGCGCGCTGGACGCGGCGCATCAACACACTCACCCGTTGCTGGAGACGGACGGCACGGACCGCGCGCGGCTTCGTCGTCGTGTTCTGCAGTACGTGCAGCGTGCACGCGCGCGCTGGTCGCCGGCGATTCAGCGTGCGAGCGCGGTCTGACGACGTCTCCGTGCACGTCCTCTGCACTCGCACCCACTGATTATCCCGCTACGGGCGTGCGGCAGTCCTGTTCAAGCGGGAGCCCTCGCGCATGCATCCCAGTCCGAGACACACTCACTTTGGCCGCGCATTGCCTTGCGCGCTCGCATCTCACCATCGCACGCGCACAGGCCCCCTTCGTCTTTCCCGGTCACAAACTCCGCGCCCGACTCCCGCCCCACCGGACGCCCATAGTCTCGACCTACACAAGAACGGCCAAGTAATACATGTCGTAAATACAATTGTACGTTCATGTTGTTGTTATGCCCCCGCTCAACAGCCCCACGAGAAGCGGCCCTATAGAACACATCAGCGCGCATGGAAATGGTTGACCGGACGGCCAGCATACAAAGGTCAGCGGGCAGCATACCGGTGAGGACGCTCATGCGGCGTCGTTGCGTACCCGTGAGCTTCGCGTCCAGTTGCGAACGCACTGACCGCGGCAACCAATCAGCAAGAGAGATCAGCGTGAGCGCAACGATATTGCGTACCGGCTGCGGCGATGCGCGTGCCGTTACGTCGAGCCTGTGGGCGCCGCGCGTGCCGTATGTGTACCTGCTCCCAGGCGGCGCTTTTCAACCCAGCGCCGGCTTATAAGCCCCGCCTCGTGAAGCTTGGACTTCGGTGCTACGCAACTAGGTACGTGATAGCCTCTGTCCGACCTCGCCCACACGCCGTCACAGCCCAGTCCCTCCCCCGACAGCCTGAAAGTTTGAAACATAGTAAGTTGACAGCGTGGATGGGATGCGGGAAGCGAGGCACCGGGACGCACGCCGTGAAGCGAGCGAATGCGCGGAAGATCAATGTCAGCGTCCCAAGGCGGGACGCCGTAATACGATCAGCGGACGCGTCTTCTCGCGTACCCCGGTCATCACTCACTCTTACCAGCACGATGATGGCCGCACCAGTGCATGTCAGCACCTGCCGCGGGAACACGCAGCCGGACACGCTACACATGGAGAAACAGCTGGCGGGCAGATGGGCATGGTCGATGCGAGAGTCCGCGTGCGTACAGCCACATTACTGGTGCAACGCTGCACGCTTGACTCCCCTGTGTACGCTCAGCGCCATGTCTTCCGGTGCCTGCTATTTGTTGGTAAATAGTTTAATATTATATGCTTCACGAGTTCTGTCCCGACGTCTCGCACACCCGCCTTCCCCCGCTAGTCCGAGACAGCGAATATGGTGAGTGGCGCGATACAGGCAGATGGTGTGCCAAGACTGCAGATGCAGACGGCAGAGCGGCTGCCTGTCCTCATGCGCGGACAAGCAGCGCGGCAAAGGCTGAGTTGTGCAGCGAGCGGCGTCGGTGGCGGATGCATCTCGCGGCTGTTGCAAAACGCGACGCAGAAGACGGCGCGTCTTGACACTCGCAGCGGGGAACAGCACCGCTCAAAAGGACATCCCGCGGACGCGTTTGCCCATCTCGTCGGGACGCGCTCTTATCCCGCCTATGCACCGCGCTGGCCGGACGCCTTGCACCTCACGCGAACGCGATCTGCTTGCGCTCATGCACCTCCGTCCGAGACGCATCCACTTCACTCTCGCGTCACTCCGTACGCCGTCCCCTGCGTGCCCGCCTGGCATTCTGCCATCACACTCACACCGCGCCATTGCACACGCGTCGGTCCCCTCTTCCTTTCTCCCCGGTCACAGACACCGCGCCGAGCTCTCTCACGTTCCCGGACGCCCGTCGTCTACGCTACACGCAACACAAAAGGTACGTAATACATGTCTCGCCTATCATTGTGCGCGCTGAGTGTCGTCACACCCCCCCTCCCGACAGCCCGCCGCGCAACCAGCAGCATTGTCCAAATGCGCCCGCACGCCCGTACAAGCATGGCCGATGATGATGTCAGCGGAGCGCAGCACGCAGCGTGAAATGGAGGACATACCTGCGGTGTTCTTGTTCCCGCCTTCTCGCGCGCATTGCCAAACGTGCCAACCGCGGCGACCAATCTGATCAAGCGGGTGTTAGCATGAGCGCGCAACAGGATGAATTGCGTACCGGCCTGCATGTGGAACCCGGTGCTTTTGTGCATTGCGGTAGTCTTCTCGGATGATGCAAGCATAGACCGGGTGGGGTTGCCGCAAACAGCCTGAAGCGTGGGAATGCACTTACAGATCTGGTCATTGTTGCAAGGGGCATCATCCCGGCTGACATTCCAAATTTAGCATCCTGACAACGGTCAGATTTCCGGAGAAAGCGTCAGCTTACGTATGAGAAGGATGTAACATATTGGAGGTTCGCCCGCACTGTCCAGCCGGAACTATATATGAGCGATGTGCGACTGTATTCTAATGATTTCCCGCTACTTCCTCTTTGTTTCCATCTATGATTTTACGGTAACCGGCGCGCACTCGCACAATGCGCACAAGAGCGTTGTGCGGGGACTATGCATGTGGTGAGCTGACCGGATGCAGCATGCTGACCGGGTGTGGTGTGCAAGTGTCCGGTACGCATCAGCACGACGATCGTAAGCAGGACCATCGGGCAACATTGCTACACTTTGGGCTGGGTGAAACACAGGCTGGGCCGAGGGTATTGGATTGCAAGGGTGAGTTTTGGCTTGATTTCTTTTTGCAGTTGTACTGATGGTTGAGCGGCGGCGTAGGAGGCAGCGGCAGCGAAATGAATTGCCGTGTGGGCTACCAAAGTACAGCCAGTGCGTGCGGACCCGAGTGCGAGCAGGATGCATGCTGTGGTCGGGAGCGCAGAGTCCACAGGGGCGCCATGCAAGGACAGTCCAAATCGATGAGCTGACCGGGTGCAAACTTTCATGCGCACCTGCAGAACCTGTCAGCGCACGCACTCGTTGACCGTTGACCGTTGACCGTCGAACGCGGGGTGGAAAAGAGAGGAGGAGGAAGGGGGACACTTACCGCGTGACCTTGCCGCTTTTCCGCACGCTGCGCATGGTCAGGAACACTTACGAGTCGCGGTTGTCCGGCACGTCGTGCAGGATCGCACGCCCCTGCGCAAGCGGCTGGCACGCGTCGTGCGCATCCGTCATGTCCCTGTCGCAGCCCGGTCATCAGCAACAACTCTCTCCGGCGCGCGCAGAAGCAAGCTCCAGCACCAGCAAACGCAAACAACGCACCGCGCGATGCAGTAACAGTCTGTGAACAGCGCCCGGTCCTTGCTGTGCCGGCCCCTGTCCGCGCGCGGGATGCGCCGCCACCATGCAGCGCGCCACATCCCCGCCCCGCGCGGTGTCCGCTCACCCATCCGGGTCACCAGCGTCCTTCGGGTCCTCGCTGGACGCCAGCTGGGAGCGCAGTCGACAGGCGCGCTTGGGACCGCCGGCACGCGTCTGCGCGGTTGCGGACACGGTCAGCATCGCGACGGAGACGGTGTACGCCATCGGGCGCGTGCGTGCGTGCGTGCGCGGGCGACGGGACAAGCGCCATCGGCAGGCGCACAAGACACGGGCCGTTGGAGTGACCGCCGGCACGCGTTTGCGCAGAAATTGGCCGCGGGACACCGGGCGGCGTGGCTACGGTTTCCGCTGGGTCAGCGGCGGGCTGCGTCAAGGGTGCCATAGTGAGTTCATACTTACTTTTTGGGGGTTGTGCTGACCATTGAGCGGCGGTTTTGCAGGCGGTGGCGGCAGCAGCAAACAAGCCATCGCGCGGATCTGAAGTACGGTAAGCGGTGCGCGCGGGTCAGTGTGGTCGGCTGGGAGCGGGCGCAAGACGTATTGCGCCATTGGGAGCGCAAGGTACACAAGACGGTCGCGCGGAGACTATTCGATGCGGCGAGCTGACCGGGCGCAGCGACCGGGCGTCCGGGCATGGTGGTGAGTGGTCGCGCACGGGATGCTGACCGCTTTTGCAGGCGCGAGCACGAACGCGCACAGTGGCAATGCGCAGCGCTGTGCTCCCGGCCGGCATTTGTTGTCGCAGTCTGCGCCCTTGCCCCATTGCGCGACGCGCCAGCGACTTTGCGCGGAGCGTGCTGACCGGGCTGCAGAGAATAGACGCGGGCGCAAGATGGTGGCGGGACGACGGCTGCGCAGGGAAGGCGACGGGCGGGCGTGGAGAAAGCGTCAGACGGGGGAGCGGGGCCGTTAGCGAACGAGACTGTAAGGGAGGCAGCGAGACTCACCAATACACGAGCCAGAGTGTCTTGCTGTGCGCGTTGAGCGGGCGCAATCACGCGGAGGCAGCGAGCTGACCGGGCAGGGTGCGCGGGCGTGCGGGATGCTGACCGCGTTTGCAGGCAGGAGCGCGACCGCACACAATGGCAGCGCGCAGCGTTCCGCGCCCAGTGCAGCATCTTCGCCCCCGACGCGCAGCGCTGGACGCAGTCATGTCACGCTGACCGGGGGCTGCGCGTGCGCAATCGCGCGGAGACGGTTCGCGGCGGCGAGCTGACCGGGCGCAGCGTGCGGACATGGTGGAGAGTGGTCGTGCTGACAGGTTTTGCAGGCGCTCGAGCGAACGCGCACGCGCCGCGCTGTGCGGTCTGCGCCCTTGCCCTGTCGCGCGACACTGGACTCGGTCGTGTTGTGCGGACCGGGGACAGCGCGTGCTTCTGCGCGACGCGCCAGCGACTTGGCGCGGAGCGTGGTGACCGGGCTGTAGCGACGATCGCGCGCGCAAGACGGTGTCTGCTGGTGGCGGGACGACGGCGGGCGTGGAGAAAGCGACGGGCAGGGGAGCGGGAACGTTAGCAGACGAGACTGTAAGGAAGGCAGCGAGACTTGGCAATATATTTCGTGGTAGCCGCTGCGCTGTATTCCCCTACCCTGTGCTGTGCTGTATTCCCCTACCCTGCGCTGTGCTGTATTCCCCTTCGCCCTCACCGTGCTCTATGTCCTTTCCCCAGCCCTATCTCTTGATTTTCATCCGGTCAGCTCTCTGCAATGTCACTCGGTCAGCTCTCGCACACTCACCTCGCTAAGCGCCCATCGTCGAGGCACCTCGATCGCGCACGTCACATGCCAAAGCGGCTCCACGAGCGTGCGCCGCGGTGTCCGAGGACGGTGGGCTACATTCTGGAATGCCGTCATGTGTTGTCGGACGAAGCTGAGTGCGATGAGGAATGCGTCGAGAGCAGGCGCATGCACTCGCATCGCGGGAGGAGTCCCAAGCCGATCGCGATCGGTGCGATCGACCGCGCACAGCCCCAGCCATGGCCGCTCTCTCCCAACGCCTGCTCGTCGACGTCCACACCCACGTCTACCTGCCCCGCTACGTCTCCTTCCTGCGCGCGCGATCTGCCGTGCCCCGCGTCTTCACCCGCACGACCCCCGACGGCGCCTCCGAGGAGCGCCTCCTCATCCTCGATGCAGAGCCCAGCGGTGGACGCCCCATGGGCCCCCAGGTATTCTTACTTGTCCTGCTGGTGTGATCCCGCGTGACCCGTCTTCTGCGCGCACAGTACTGGGACAGGGCCCTCAAGCTCGACTTCATGAAGAGACACGGAATAGACATATCCGTCGTGAGGTTGCTGCGTCCCGCCTGCGTGCCCTCATCGCGACTGACCCTCGTCGCGCCCCGCAGCTCTGCGAACCCATGGCTCGACTTCCTGTCCGCCCCCGCCGCACATGAGCTCGCCCACCAGCTTAACGACGACCTCGAGACGTACTGCTCGACGTCGCCCGGCCTCGCAGGGGGCCCGCTCAAGCAGCTGTACGGCTTCGGCCTCCTCCCGCTCGTCCCAGAGGTCACCACCGCGTCCCTGCTCGACACCGTGCACCAGAT